GAGAGAGAGAGAGAGAGAGAGAGAGAGAAACTTTTTAATATTTATTTTTTAGTTTTCGGCGGACACAACATCTTTGTTTGTATTTGGTGCTGAGGATTGAACCCGGGCCGCACGCATGCCAGGCGAGCGCGCTACTGTTTGAGCCACATCCCCAGCCCCTCAATAGTGTCTTTTAATAATGAGTATATTTTCATTTCAATGTAGTCATATGATTTTAAATTATTCTTTTAAAACATATTATTAAAATCAATATTGATTATACATATTCTCTCATTTCTGAATCAGTTTCTAAGGTCATCAAAATACTTTGATTACATTTTAATTGGAATACTATCTACAGAAAAAATTTTTGAAAGATAAAACAACCATATAATACTGAATTTTGCTATCTATTGACTGGTATATCTTCCTATATAACTGTCTGCTTTAAAGGAGCTAATATTTTCTTAAAATATTTAATTTTTAACTGATATTTTGTTTGTTGCTGGCAGATAGAAAGGCAATTGATTCTTGTTTATTGGCCTTCATCCAACCACTTTGATAAATACCATTATTTCTAATAATAAGATATGTTATGATCAAAATAGCCAGTAAACTATTTGGATATTGTATAATGGCAATCATGTCAGCTTATAAATTAGTAACTATTTGGGTTCTTATTTCTCTTCTGCCTTTTTTTGCTGGATAGAATCTACGGTGACTAGAAGAAATTTTAAAGGGAGTGCTTTGGGCTATGCTCCATGCCTAGTGTTTTAGTCAGCTTTTTCACTGCTATAACCAAACACCTGACAAGAACAAATTTAGAGGAGGAAAAGTTTATTTGGCACTCAAAGGTCTCAGTCTACAGACAACTGGCTCCATTGTTCTGGATCCAAGATAAAGCAGAACATCATAGCTGAATAGTGTGGAAGATGAAAGCAACTCAGGACATGACTACCAGGAAGCAGAGAGTTAGTTCCACTCACCAGGGACAAAACAGAAACCCCAAAGGCAAGGCCAAGTGACCCACTCCTCCAGCCATAYCYTACCTGCCTTCAATTATCACCCTGTTAATCCCTATAAGTAGATTAACTCACTGGGGTTACAACTATCAATAACGCTCATCATTTAGTCGTTTCACGTCTGAATCTTCTTGCATTTTCTCACACAAGAGCTTTTGGGAGGCCACCTCATCTAAACCATAACACTTAGCATGCTCAAGGCCCTGGGGGGGGAGGGAGGGAGAGAGGGARGGAGGAAAAAAGGGAGGGAAGGAAAGGAAGAAAGTGTTTCTTATATTTCACCATTAAAAATGATGTTTCGTGTAAGTTTTTGTTAGTCTTAGCAAACTAAGAAAATTCCTTTTCATTTCTATTTTTCTGAATGTCTAACATGGATATTGAATTATGTCCAGTGTTTTTGTACTTCCAGTGCATAATCATATTTTGTATCTCCTTTATTAGATAAGTGGGTGAAAGACACTTTAAATTTTCTGATGGATTTCTGGGATAATTGCTTGATCAAGAGGTATTTTCTTTCTTACATATTGCTGGTTTACTCATTTTTCACTTAGTATTTTTATATGTACGTTCATAAAAAGACTGGCCTTTGATTTTTCTTTTTTGTACCATCCTTTTGTGAATCTGGAATCAGGATTACACTAATTGGAAAGTTCCATCTCTTCCTCTTTTCTGGAAGAGTTGTGTAAGATTTGGAATGATCTGTAACTTGCAAGCTTGGTAGAACCTCCATAAAACCATCTGGTCTGGTATGTTCTCTGTGGGAAGATTTTCAACTCCTAATTCAATTTCTTTCATAGCTGTAGGACTAGTCAGGCTTTTTATTTACTTAAGTCAGTCTTGTTAAGTCATATTTTTTCCTCAGAATTTGTTCATGCTATAGTTTGGATTTTGAATTGGCCAAAGCCCACCCACCTACTAAAGACTTGGCTGCCAGCTTATGGTGTCCTAAGAGGCCGCAGAACCTTTAAGAGGTAATGCCTAAAGAAATTTAGGTCATTGAGGGCATTACCTTGAGGATATTAAGACCCCTGTCCCCTCCTGTCTTTCTGTTCCCAGTCTCCATGAGATATACAGGCCCCTTCCACGATGACCTCTTGCCACAGGACCAAAGCAACAGGGCCAAGGGATCAAGGACAGATACCTCTGACACCATGAGCCAAAACTAAAGCTTTTCTCTTTTTAAACTCATTGTCTCAGGTGTTTTGTCACATGATACAAAACTAACACTGTCCACTTCTGTTTATATTTGCAAATTACTGTTATAAAGTTTATCCTAGCCATCTTATTATTTTTGATCTCCATAAGCCTTATACTTGGAGCTCCATTTTTATTCTCATTGTTTATTTTTACCTACTTTCTTTAGTCTTAATCAATTTTGCCAAAGGTTTGCCTATTTTATTAGATTTTAGAAAGAACTAACTCATTGTTTATTGATCTTCTTTATCTTTATTATTTGATTCAGATATGCCCTTATCTATATTATCTCCTTTCTTCTGCTTTCTTTGAATCTATTCTGTTGCTTTTTTCACTTCATTTACTAATTTTCAGCCTTACTAGTCTTCTTCTATAAGCATATAAAGGCTATAAATTTCCCTCTAAATTTTATTTTGGGTACCCCCCCAAAACTTATCTATGGCATTGTTATTATCATTCAGTCTGAAGTATTTTAAATTTCCACTACAATTTCTTTTATGGTCCACGGGTTGGAAGTATAATTTTAAATTTCCAAATACACGGCAAGTTTTTAAAAAACTTACCTTTCTATTATTAACTTTTAAATTAATTACATAAGGTAAAAATATTCACTGTGTCATAGTCATTCTCTGAAATCTGAAATGCTTATAACTCATGAATAATTAATTTTCCTAATATATAAAGGACTCTTACAAATCAAAAAGACTAAAAACCTAGATTCTATAAATGGGCAGAAGACAATGAAGAATCAATATACAGAGAAATAAATCCAAAGGTCTCACAAACATGTAAAAAGAGACCTCTTTTCATCCATAATAAAAGAAATATAGACTATAAGGTATATAACTTCATAACAATTATGGAAAGCAATTCAGTAATAGCTATTAGTAAGTTCATTTCTGGGAATTTCTTTTATAGATACTCACATGTATGGAAAATAATCTTTACAGAAGGACCTTCATTATATAACAACTAAAATGATAGAAGATTAGAAGCAGACATCCATAAGGTACTAGTCAAATTGTTACAACTACATAATAGAATGCTAAAGAGCCATAGTTTTTAAAAGGAATGAAAATACTCTGTTATGTACCATGTAGACAATACCCAAAATACATATTAAGTAAAAAATTTAAAGAATGCCCCTTATGTAGGAAACAGAGAGTGTTACACACATTTTTGTATGTGCGTGTAATGGTTTGTATATGCACAAAGTCAAGAAACTGATAAAATCAGTTAGTTCTAAAGAGGCTGCAGAATAGAAATGAGAGACATAATTTACTATATAACTTTTTAAATTATGTATCTTGAGAACATATTTTTTAAAAATATTTTTTTCCTAATTCTTTTTTTTCCCTCTGGTAGTGGGAATGAAGACAAGGACCTCATGCATGCTAGGCATTCTACCACCAAGCTACATCCTAGTCTAAAAACAATTTTCTAATGAGCTTGATGAAATAAGGTTGTTTCTTCACGAACATGTCTATCTTCCATTAGAAATAAATATGGAAAATTAACATAGTTTTCGTATAGTGTAGCATTATTTCTTTCAGTAAAAAGGGCTTTGTTTTTAATTGCTGCAAAAGCTTATTGTGAAGTTTTATATAATCACATGATCTAAAAGTTTACCTTTTTCGACTTGAAGTCTTCCAGTGGACTGCATAAATCCAATCCCATTATCTGCCACACACTGATACAGTCCAGAGTCTTCCATTGTAACCCCAGTAATTTTCAGTCCATTTCCTGCAGTTAAATGTCGTGAGGAAGGACGAACAGGCTGTGCATTATGAAACCAGGTACGGTTAGGTGCTGGGTTCCCACGAACATCACAAGTGAAAAGTACTGTGGCACCTAGAGATACTTTCTGATCTTCCAGTCCCTTAGAAATTGAAGCATGTTCTGAAAATAAAACATGTAAATTAAACTCTACCCCTCAAGATGTACTTTTTACATTATCACACAGGTCAAATAAAATCTTCTACCAATAACTAGTTGAGGTTGTATTCTTTATTCACATTCTTCCATCTGCTGTGGTCATCAATAAAAATGTTAGAAATATTTTTTAACTTTCCACTAATAGAATAAACCATATATTACTAATAAGATATTGTCTCCTTTTTTAGATAGATTCACCCACTTAACTTTTCCAACACACATATAGTTTCTAATCCTAGGCTTCTTTTAGCATTTATTTCAGGTGACTAGGTTAAAGGAAAGTAATTGTTTCCCTGTATTTCACACTAGACAAGAGTCAGAAAAGAAATCTATTATTCATTTTAAATTCTTTTTATGGTCAAGTCTATTTCGAGGTTAGGTGTATAACAGAGAATAAAAAATAAGTAAATTAGAAAGAAACTTCCTTTAAGAGCCATGAAGTCACTTTGTATTTAGAAAAGTAAACGATTTATCAATATTTACAGCATATGCCTTAAATAAGTAATYATGCATATTAACCTACTCCCGATTATCACCACATGTCCATGTGCACACCCATGTGGGGGGTGCAGGTAGGTGCTGGAGATGAAACCCAGTGCCTCACATATGGTAAGCCAGTGCTCTACCACTGAGCTACACCCCAGCCCAATCACTGCATTATGCAGCCACTTGCCAAATACTTCCTAAATCCCAGTGTTGTGAACCTACATTAGGCCATGAGTGTTAAGTAAATCACTTGGAAAAAATTTACAAAAACTATATTTACTGTGAAATTAATTTTATTTCTGGCTTTCAAGTAAATCTGTTTTGAAAAAGGAAAACATTCTACTATTACACATGACACTAAGGTAAGTGGCTAGTAGAAAAGAAACAGCTTTGAGATAAAGCATATATGTAGAAATAATGCAAATTTTTTAAGCTCGACATAGGTAAAAGCATGCCAAAAGGGAAAAAAATAATAATAAAATAGGTTGATTTTTTTTTTTGAGATGCCATTTTCTAGTCAGTACTCTTAGTTGCTTCTACAGGATGCCACACAGAGATACACATCAGAATTTTCCATTCCATCAGATTCCAGTTTTCTTTTCTCCAGGTCACAGAGAAGGACGCTCTGGACTGGGGGATAGGTTCCCAAGAGCAATCCATGTGAAATGTTCTATGCCACCCAGAAATACAGCCTAATTTAGCAGTCCTTTTGGAAAAAATGAAGCCTTGTTCTGGCTACTGGTGTGAATATTTCTAGATATTCACTGTTTTAGTTTAGCTCACATATGTCCTACAAACATCAGATAGACAAGGATAATGTCCTGATTTGGGGGGGAAAATTGAGTAAGTGACGTCTTACCGAGTACATTAACCACATAAGTGACATGTTTTACGTCGCCAGATTTGTTGCCCACCACACAGGAATAGTTTCCAGAGTCTGCTGGATCAATGCTAGCAGTGGCAAGATGTGAATGTAACCTTCTCCAGTTGCTTCCCGGTACAGCATCCTGCCCATCCTTCAGCCAATACACTTGTGAGGCTGGGACCCCACTCACCACACACTCCAGGGTTACAGAGCTATGAGAAAGGACAGCCAATGCCTGTGGAAGGGTAGGGTGAAGAATGTGAAACCCATCCAAGGCAGGGCCTAGAAAAGGAAGGGAACACAAAATATTATTAGTAAGGATTCACTTCCAATCTCTTCCCTAGGAAAGCTGTGAGCATCCTCACACTGCTACTTAGTTTTCTTTATACAACAACATTCTAATTAGTAGTGAAATCATTTTTAGCTGAGGATTAAAATGAAAAGATTTTTGTGGTCCTTGAGGGCTACTTCTCAATTATATAACTCTGGAAAGGTAGAATTCTCAACAAGTCCAGAAACCACTCTTTTATGATGCTCAGACTACTGATGGTACCTCAACTCAACAGCCACAATCTATTATTTTAATCATAATTTTTAAAAATTGAGTAGAAAGATCTTTTCCTCATGCCACCCATTCAGCCACCAATGTGATGACCACTGCTATCAAGTTATATTCCTGCTTTTAGTTGTTTTTGTTTGAGCAAAGGGCAAAATTCTCCACACAAATTCACTCTGTCACACCAATCATAACTCCCCTCTAAAAAGTTGCTCTATTTTTTTAAAAATATGTATGGTTTGATTCTGTTATACATTATTGCATTTACTTTTTTTTGGGGGGATAAGACTTTTTATGATAAAACGAAAGAGACCTGGGGCTTGGGTTGTGGCTCAGCAGTAGAGCATTCGCCTACCATGTGCGAGGCCCTGGGTTCGATCCTCAGCACCACTTTATTTTATAAAATAAAGGTAGGCGTCCAACTACAACTAAAAAATAAATATTAAAAGAGAGAGAGAGAGAGAGAGAGACCTGAAAATGAGCTCTCCTTTCCCAACTATTTTTGAGCAATACTTTTGAGGACTCTTCCTTTGCTAGTAGCCACTGCTCTCCCAAATACTTACGACTCACAAGGAGCTTTTGGCCAATGGGTTCAACTTTTAATTCATGGGTGACAGGATTATAAACTGCACATTTGTATGATCCCTTGTCCTCTGAGGATACATTCAAAATTTGAAGATTTCCTGATGGAAGAATTATGTAATTCCCTGAAGAAGGAAAGGAATGCAGTTAGTCTTCACTCTCTGAAGACCACCACAGCGCAACTAAAACTAACAAGGGTTTGCAGTTGTGTTTAAGATTTATACAGAAGACTAGCAGCAAATAAGCAACCAAGGAAAATTCATTAAATGAAAGAAAAGGAAAGTCAAGGACAAAAATAAAGAGTTGACAGTACTGGCATAACAAAATTTAATCCATCAGAAACATTTTAACAGATGGTGAGTCTGAAAGCACAAGAAGCATATTTAGGCAAAGATACCATGATCACAGCCCTGATGAACCTCTACCTTAAAAGTACTGGCCACATGGTATTTATTCATTGTCTGCCCTTCCCTTTTTTCAATAAATATATATTGAGTTAACTATTTTCTTCCAAACTCAGCAAAGGCACTCATGACACAGCAATAGAGAAAGAGCACAAAGGTCCTGCATGCATGCAACTAGCATTGCAGTAGGGGGTGATGGGTGCAGAGAAAGGAGTACAAAATAAACAAGGAAACAAATATCGAAACAACCCATACCAGGTGTGATAATTCTATAAAGAAAATTGAAGCTGAATAAAGGGTAAAAAGGCACATTATTTTAGAGAGGACCATCTGACTGGTCTTCTCCAAGGAAGTAAAATTGGAGTAGAGACTGGAATGAACTAATGTCTTCATTTCCTCTATTTGACTTCTCAGAGTACAATGTATCTTACCTATTTTCCCAACCACAGTCCCTAGCACACAGAATGCAGTTATGTAAGGAATATTTGTTTTCTGTGTGCTATTAGCTTTTTATAAAAGGACTCACCTGTGGAATGTTTCAGCCATTTCCCCCGGATTTTATAGCGCACTTCAGCTTTAGGATTACTCTCTGGTACTCTGCAGCCAACGAAACCAGTGCTTTTTTCTTCTGCTGTAATAGCATGCTTTGTTGAAGAATCAAAGTCACCAAGAACTGAAATAAATAAGTAAATAAAAGAATGAATGAATGCAAACTTGAGTTCTCTTTCCCAAAGGAAGTCTAAAATTTAGAAACATCAGCCACATGGTGTCTTGTGGTGGCTAATCCCAGTCGTGAGGTTAGTGTGAGCTTTTATCTAAGAAARCAGCTGGGGCAGAGGCGCCTGGTTGAGGGCTGACAGCTAACTCAAGGCACCCTTTTTGCAGAAGTTGCTGCTTTTAGGGGACTATAAGAAAAACAAACTGCTCCCAAAACACCAGGGAGAACTATAAAGCATAATTATCCCCATTCTATAAAGATAAATCCTTTTCAATGCAGGCCCTCAGCAAAGCTCACTTTCCCGGTTTATAAATGCTCAAAGTGCAATAAAATGGCCTCTGGGGATGACCATAGGACATCAAAAAGCAAAGCAATATGTTGCCTCAGTTATCTGAATATACCAATTCAATCTCAATTCTTTTCAATTTAAGCTCTCTACAGACGGAGGCTGCCTGGAAAGGTTCTTTATTATCTCAGTGCACAGGGAAGTCAGCAGCCTGCCACTAAAACCCAACCCTCCAGTGTGTGTCTTGGAGCTGTCCATGGGTCACAGCTCTATAAAAACATTTACTCTTCTCAGTTATGACAAACTCACTACTCCTGGGGAATCCAGATTTGTTCTGTAAATAGGGGTGCCCTTACAAAGACGTTTTCCATTACTGGAAGCCATCACCATTTAAAAGGCAGATGGCTCAAACTTACTAAGAAAAACCACGCATTCCAGATTTTCCATAAGTTCAATACTCCACATTCCTTTCTTTACAGTCAGTTATTTTTTCCTGCTTCTTTAGCCTGGTTTCAATTAAATTAATTAAAATCACCCAGTAATCAAGGCAAATAAAACAGATTCAAAAAAAGATAAAGGACTGCATGAAATAAATCAGCATCAAAAAAGACAACAGCTTTGTTATTATTGACATTAAGAACTTTTAAGGAATCACAAAGAAATTGTTTAGAATTCACATTAGAAAACTCTCCTAACTCTGTAACTTAAAAAAAAAACATCATTTCCATACCATTGCTACAGATGAAGATACAAGGCTGGGCTACAGAGGGCCAAGTACATTTCCCCAAGATATTCATATGGTGAAGTTAAAGTTGGGATAAGACTTCTACATATCTCACACCAAAGCCCATGTCCTTCCCGCTATTCAAAAATGCCAACACTAACAGTAGTTTCAAGAAAACCCATAGATAATAAACCAGACTGAACTCACCTGCAGGGGATATTGTTGCAGGGCTACTTAGAACTGCACCGATGCTATTGTTGGCAATGCACTGGTAGTAACCCGAAAGGGAGGGGTTGAGAGAAAGGATTGTCAATGTCCCCTGGTGAATCTTAATCTGTTCCATGTTTCTATCCAAATGTTTTCCATTATGCAACCATGAGATGTGAGCAGTCACGGGTTTAGCAGAACAATGTAGTACCACAGGTCTACCAAACTTCTGGACCTCAGAGAGAGGCTCAGAAATAAAATAAGGTGCCAAGTCTATGAGGGAATATTCCCCATGAGGAAACGGGAAGGGTAAGAAGGAGAGGGAAGAGCAGAGAGAAAGAAGAGCACATTAACACATGTCATATGAATCTATAACTAAGGCAACCTCTAATCTATATATGTGGTGATTCTTGTGCTTACAAAAAAGTTCTAGCAAAATTCTCATACAACTTTCTTTTGGAAGAAAAAAAGAGTGAGCAATGTTAGCCTAGGACTTCACAATTTAGGTAGAACAGACAAGAATGCTTATGGTATAAATCAGATATAACACCAATTGCATTAATAAGAAATGGCAAACTACTCTTAACAAAATGGCTTGTAAGAAATGGAAGTAAAAAAGCTGAAGAAGTGAAGATGATTTTCAAAATTAATAGAGTTCTCTCTAATTTTACTAATAGCATTTGACCTGTCAGAGCAAGTCACTCCACAAATAATGGCATGGCACTTCTTAACTACTTTATTATTTTAATATAAAATATTGTTTAACTTTAAAAAAAATTTTTTTTAGTTGTAGTTGAACACAATACCTTTATTTATTTATTTATGTGTTGCTGATGCTTGAACCCAGCGCGTTACATGTGCTAGGCAAGCGCTCTACTACTGAGCCATCACCCCAGCCCCTATGTATTAACTTTTAAGAAAACAAAGTTGGGGGAGTCACAAATGAAATAAAAATTTTACTCTTTCTTGAATATAAGGCTTAACATTTTTACTTGGTGTTTGAAATAGCTTAATCTATCATACTAATTCCTTAAGGAACGTGGGTGGGGATGTGGTTCTTATATTAAAATATCAATATAGATCCTCCTCCCTACCTCCATCCCTCCCAAAACAGGAAGAGACGCATGAATATTGTATCTAATAGAATAAAATACTTAAAAGGGAAAAAAAAATCAACAAATTGGTGGCTCTTCTTTTATAGAATATTTAATCAGAAATGAAAATTAAAGGAAGTGCCTCTCTTGGCTAAAGCTGGGGTGGCTGTTTAGCAAAACATAAACAGAAATGAAATCACTAAATCAATTTTCACTTGTACATCCAATATAGTTACACAGCAATTTTAATAAATAATAAATATTTTAATAAATAATAAATATTACTCAGTGAGTAGACATGACTATATTTGTACATTCTTACTATTCACCTTTATATATGTCCAAAATAGAGAAAGGAGTGTAGTCCACGTATCTGACTTGGGGCTTGCATACATTTACCAATAAACACATTTAAGCTTTTCAGTAACTCAAAGAAGTAAACAATAAACTAGGCCAGATCCTAGAGGGAGTGGCACACCTGGGATTTGAACCAGGTTCTCTCACTCCAATTTGAACATTATACCATACTGATTCTAAAACTTCTCTTTGGTGGTGGGTAGTCAGTATTTATCCTGTCATCATTACCAAATTCAGAAATTTTTAACATACCCCTTACTGAGAAAATCATAATAGAAAATATTTGAGGGGTGGGTACTGGGGACTGAACTCAGGGTCACTCAATCACTGAACCTTATCCCCAGCCCGTTTTATTCTTTATTTTGGACAGAGTTTCACTAAGTTGCATGGGACCTCACTAAGTTGCTGAACCGGTCCTCAAACTTGTGATCCTCCTTCCTCAGCCTCCAGAGCCAATGGAATTACAGATGTGTGCCACCACACTGGGCTAGGAAATATATTTAAAACAATAAAAGGAACAAATGCAAGGACAAAAATGGGAAGGCCTGCTAATGCCCAAAGCACTACTAGGAGATCCTCAAATTGCTTCATTAATCAAGTTTTTAAGTCAGCTGGTCAAACAAATCTTAGGAACACCTTTAGAAACTGCTATTATTGGCAAAATACTTTAGCTGAAATTTTTTAAATAGGATTAAAATGAGGAAAGGCTTCAGCTCAAACCCCACTATTCTTGTCTTACCTGAACTCACAGAAGAACACAGAATCAAAAGAATAACATACAGCAGTGTCCATAAGGGTCCAAGATCTGGATGCATGGCGTCTGATTCCAGAAGTAGGCAGGAAGACTGTGGAGAACACCCAGGCCTTGGCTCACTAGAAAGCATTCAAAAAGGAAAAACAAAATCTAAGCCACAAAAATCAATGAAATCTTTCATCTGAACAACGAGAGTTGTGAGCATGATGACTGCCTTCTACTTGAAAAGTTCTGTAGTGAGTATGTCAAATCCCAGGCACTTAATGACCCACGCCTTCCCAGTTCACAAACATATCCCTAGATACTAAATTAGTTAAGTTTTGCTCATTCTTCCAAGGTACTAGAACACCTTTTATTACAGAGAACTAGTCATTCTGAATAATATTTTCTATTTTTACACATGCTTTTCTATTTTTACATCTCACAAGCATCTCAACTCTAACACAAACAACATGTGTTCCTCCTTTACATTCCCCCAAATAGTGACAGAAATAACAAAGCCATAGCTAATACTTACACAGAGTTACCATACGCCAATCCCATTTCAGTGCTTCTAATACACTAATTTAATCTTCACAAGAACTCTATGACATAGTTGCTACTGGTTTTCTTCCCTTTTTCAGATGGAGACTCAGGCTCATAGACTCTTCAGAGGGAATACCAAGTACAGACCTGTGTTGGGACTTAACTTGGCACTCTGTGGTGAGAGTAGAATGAGCCAAGAAGAAAGAAGTAAGAGATGAAAGCAGAGAGGAGGGCCAGGCAAGATCCTACCCAATCTTGAAGATCTTGATAAAGATTTGAGGACTTATTGTAAATGTATTAGCAAGCCCTTAGAGAACTGAAAGAAGCAAAGGGATGTGATCTCATTTATGTTTTAAAAAGATCACCAGCTGGTTGGAACCTGGCACAGTGGTGTGTGCCTATAATCCCAGAGACTTAGGAACCTGAGGCAGGAGGATCACGAGTTCAAAACCAGACTCAGTAAAAGTGAGATGCTAAGCAACTCAGTGAGACCCTGTCTCTAAATTACATTAAATACAAAATAGGGATGATATGTAGCTCAGTGGTCAAGTGCCCCTGAGTTCAATCCCCAGTACCAAAAGAAAAAAAAATTTAAAAAAAGATGGCCAGCTGGTGAAGAATACAAGGAAATGTATACAGACATGAAGAGAAAGAGCAATCAGGAGACCCTGAAATTCCACAGGACACAGACAAGGGCACTGAGGGTTAGACCAGAGTCATCAACTATGCCAGTGGTGAAAAGCAAGTGAATTCAGAATGTTGTTTCAAAGGGCAGAACCAACAATACTTGCTGAGGCAAGGATATGAAGTGTGAGATTAAAGAGATGTGTCAAGGACAACACTCAGATTAGGTGTGAGAGAATAATAATAGCCCTGTGTACTGAACTAGGGAAGATTAGAGAGTGGGAGACAAAGTGAAGTGGAGGAGAGCCAGCATTCTTGTTTGGCCAAGGTAAGTTTGAGATATCTACTAGATGTCAAAGTACCACTGTCAGATCAACAGGTACACCAATGAGCACGGAGTTGTGGGGGAAAATCAGATCTGAAAATGCAGATTTTAGATGTACAAAAGTTGTGGAAGATGAGCTCTAAAGAAAAAATGATTAGAGGATAAAGGAGATACCATGTAACCTTTAGAGACTGCATAGAGAAGGAAGAAGTAATAGAGATGGAGTAGATATTGTCAATAAAATGGGAAGAAATCCAGGAGAATGTTGTGTTCAGGGAGAAAAATTACAACATTTCTATAAGAGAGTGGTCATCTATCTCAAACATATATGAGAACCAAAATAAGGTGAGATTCCAGGGGAAAGGCATGATGAGCATCACAGGTGATTTCACCAAGAGCAGTTTTGCACAGATTTAAGTCGGWGGGTGGGGTCTGGACAGAATGGGAAGAGAGGAAATGTAGAGCGCAGGCAGGGACAGCTCCTACAAGGGCTTTGTATGCAAGATGGCAGAAAAACAGGGAGAAAGGCTAGCAATGGAAAGCAAATCAGGGGAAGGTTTTTGAATACAGAAATAGTACAGCACATTTAGCAAAACTTTAAAAAGTTTCACCACACTGGCTAGAATATGGGGACAATTAGCTATTATATACTGTTTGTGGCAATAAAATCTGTAAGTTCTTTCTGGAGGCAATTGGGCAACGTCTATCAAAATCATTTATCTATGCAACAAATGTTTACAGAATATTTATTGTATGCCACACACTATCTCAGGAGCTGAGGATAGATAGAACCATTTTTACCTCATAAATAAAAATAATTAATACCAACAAAATTTATACCTTATGTGTTAGTGGGAAAAATGGACAAGAAGAGAATAGATAAAATTAGTAAAATTAACAATGTCCATGCATCCTCCAAATATGGCTAATTCTTTCTCCTTTTTGAAGGCAAGAATGACATCATATTCAATATGTAAAATTCTAATGCCTACAATAAAGTAAGCACCCCATAAATAAAATGTTTCTTAAAATGGAGGGAATACCTTAACATAATGTAATTCCCACATGAACTTTAAAGAGTAGTATATAATGAAAACTATCATCTCATCTGGATTTAGCATACTTAGCTATACTTTTTATTTCTATATTCATTTATTTATCTATATAAATTTTGAACCAAATCAGCAAAAGTACATTAAATACGTACTATGTATATGCCAGGCACTATGCTAGACTAGATTATTGTGTCTGCAAATTCAATTCCATGCTACTGCTTGGCCAGAGATGGACACAGAACCTATGACTATGGAAAACAACAAAATGCAATGGCTATGCCACACTGATGACATTTTAGAAATGAGATTTTTACATGCATATTAACTTATGCAAAGGTTCTCATCTTAACCATGGATAATTCTGAGTAATAATGCAAAGCAAGGCACCTCAGGCTTTTAAGAAGTAAAACAGTATCTCCCAGAATCTGTTAAGCTTCTCTATGCCAGGTATTTCAAAATCTAAAAGCTGCAAACTCAAGTTTATCTAGGCCACTGATAGGAGGTCATGGACTGCCTTTCATGTTGACCACTTTTAAAAAGTGGAAAAGGACATATCAGCACCACTCATCGGCAGAAGGGTCCAGCTGTGTGAAAACTTTCTGGTTTATTTGAACTCCCACTTGGTTCAAGGGAAGAACTGACATGCCACTGGTAGGCAGTCAAGGCAAAGTAAACATTCAAATAACTTGTTAACAGGAGACACTCTGCTGGAAGAATGTGGACAGGAGGATTAATTATTTCTTTTGCCAAATCTTTCTTCAACTATTTATTTACTAAAAGGCAGTGAAACAAATTTCAGAGTCAACCTTAATCCTGGCATATAACCTATTTCATAGCTGTCCTTTGAAGTTCCAGAGCTCATTACTGCTACCTAAATATGATCACATAGGAATCTCCTTTATTAAGTCTATCTCTCTAGTGGGTTACTCTTAATATGTTCTCAATTGCTTTGGGAAGTTGGAAATAAAACAAAAGATGTTTATTAAATATTTGCTGACTTGGCTTTCTTTATCCATAGCAAGCTTGCTCAGTTTGTTAGAACTGTAACAAGTGAACAAAAAGTTGGATTCTGTTGTTACACAGGTCAGGTAGCTTGAAATTATATTTAATAGCTACCAACAGAATCTCAGGTACAACATCACCAATAAATATCACTAATTACACAGGTGATAAAAGTACAAAACAGAGTAGATCTATTAGCATTATTGAAAAATCACCCAATACCATCTCATTTTCTAGAGTACTATCTTTTTCAAAGGAGGAAATGCTTAATGAGCTATGTGACTAGTAAGTTATTAAGAAAACCAAAAATACATATACATATAATGTTCCCTGAACTCTGGCAAATGAACATTTTTGACAAAGTCTACCACAAATAAACAAAACTCCTACCATCTTACATACAGGTCAGTGGCCTTAACATACATATATATACATATATATATATATATTCTCCCTCACCATAAAAATTGACCTTGGGGACAAATAAGCCCTCCTTTCCTTAGCCCAGTTGCTATCCCACCTTCTCTTACTCTTTTCTGATCGAGAAATTGTGACCAGTAGAGAAAAGGCCTCTGGGAAGAGTCCACCAGGCAACTCCACTTTCTACAACACCTACTGAAAGTTGTTTGACCTCTGTCCTAGCATTCAGGCATTTAAATGTTTTCATGTGAAAATTTTAAGACACAATTATGACTTAAATCATATTAGATAGAGTAGAAGTCTGATTGAAATCATACTGTCAATAGAACTGTTTTTTTATTTTTTATTAGCTGCTCAAAACATTACAATAATCTTGACATAACATACATTTGTATTCAAATGGGGTACGCAATCTTATGTTTTTTTTAGAACTGTTTTTTTAAAAGCACTCAGTGTTATTGTTAATATAATGCCTATTATCTTAAATAAACCATTCAAGGTTTTCTTCCACATATTTGACAGTGTATATGTTACTACAAATACTCACTGATCAAACAAACAAACAAACAAACACCCCTTATACATTCAGCATAGTGTGGAAAATACATAAAGATATGAAAAGGAAAGTAAACATGACCATCCTACCTGCAGAAAACAAAACAATATTTTGATGTGCTTCTAATTCTTTTCATGTATGTGTACATTGTGTAAGATCACAACATATGTGACATCTTAAACCCTTTCAATAATGATCATTTTTCCTTATTAAAATCTTTCATGAACATTATTTGTAACATTTGCAGATACTCTATTGAATAGATGTATTTGTGTGTATATATGCACCTTTTTTTGCTCTTTCACTATTATGGATAACACTGTAATACCTATTGTTGTTCATAAATCTTGAGCCTCTCTTTTAATTATCTCCTTTGGATTGATTTTTAGAAATGGAATTACCAGGTCAAGGAGTACAAACTTTTTGAAGACTTTTAAAACAGCATCAAGTTGTTTTCCAAAAGGAAGGCACCAGTATATAACCGTATCCCCATTAATCCCCAGCAAGCCATCAGCACATGAAGGAAATCCCTCCATCAGCACATGGTGTAGATCCTCCCATTGCGGTAAGTGAAATGTGGACATAAAACATGACTTTAAGCAATCAATTAAA